GTACCTACTCATACCTAATTTTTATTTAGCAAAAATTTATTGCAAGTTGTTCTTGCTAAATCACTAAATTTTCAGGCTGGGGTTTAACTTCAAATTCTCTTTCCTTGGACTCCCATAGTGCTGGGATTATACACTTGTCCTCTCCTGTTTGAATCTGCAGTCTTTTAGAGGTGGAGACTTGCTTTTCATCAATTTTCCTGCCTGTACTGTATCACAAAGTGCTAAGTTGTAAAACAGAACAATTTTAACAACCTACAGCACAAATAACATTTTCCATCTCTAACTTCCACATGCTCTGTAATAATGCTGCATGTCTTTTATACTTCATTCTTAAACTTCACAAAATAAATATAATCATATCCATTTTATAGAGTTTCCCTAGTGTTTCCTGTCTGGTCTTATGGTTGGAATGCAGATCATAAGTTGATTGGACCACAAGACACTTCCATTATTATTCTAGGGCCTTGTCCCAATGATCAGAAACTTCCCAAACAAGAAGGGACTGAGACTTCACAGCACTCAGGACCCACTTCCTTGAGGGACTGGAATTCAAAGTACTAGTTACTTGAATTGGATAGGGTAGTGGGGTCCTGCTTCCAACAAGGGTAAAGGTATGGATTTGTAAGCACCCAGTTCAGTGAAATCGGGATAGACTGAGATGTCTTTACCTTAGCCAGACCAGCATCTTTGGACTTGAGTTGGTTTTCATAGGTTAGAAGGATTAGAAGGCTTTTCTGAGCTTTGTTTGAACAGATTCATCTTCCTGGACGTTACCCAGTATCCTTCTCCTTGCAGATATCTCAGGATGAGCATGCGGAGCCCACCTCCTCTATATGAGCTAGCCAAGCAGAGCCTGCTGAAGAGTGAGCCCATAGCCAGCACTGCTCTGCATGACCTGCCCTCCACAATCTTCCATGACTTATTCATGGATGCCTTCATGGGGGGACACAATGAGGTCGTGAAGGTGATGGTGCAGGCCTGGCCATTCCCCTACCTCCCTCTGAGGAGCCTGATGGATTTGAGGACACCAAATCCTGAATACATGCAGTTTGGGGACAGAAACAAAAAAAAAATTCTGCAGACCTTCGAAGCATTATTGGATGGACTTGATATATGCTTGTCCCAGAAGGTTCACCACCGGTGAGTGTGATATATCAATACTTGAAACAGGAGCCAGGGAGATCAGAAAAGGGACATTTGGTGTGAAGGAGCAAGGAGACAGAAGTGTGCAGCAGCCTCTGACATTGAGGTGGATCACAGATTTCTTGGCCTTTGCTGAGCACCACCTGGGAAGGGGTTTCCTGATGAGAATGCTGCATGTGCAGGATGAGGTGAAGTCAGGAGCAACCTGCACCTTCCTACTCTCACAGGGACTGGAAATTGAACCGAGCTGCATGCAAAGGTTGAAAGTGTAGAAAAAGGAAGGGAGGAAAAACAGGGGAATGGCTGATGCCCAGAAAGTGGAAAAGAAGCACAGGTTGGAAGTTGGGTCTTTACCTCTTTACTGAGGCTGATTTCTGTTTCATGCTCAGCAGGTGGAAACTGCAGGTGCTGGACTGGAGGGATGGACACCGGGACTTCTGGACTGCAGGGCCCAGAGCCATGAATGCTGCTCCCTTAGCAGATTCCTGGAATAAGGAAACAGGCAAGCTTGGTCTGACTGACAAGAAACCAACCTTGACAATATTTGCAAACCTTTGTTTCGAACCTTACAGTTCCTTTAATGACACACATGACAAATTACAACTCTGCCTCTTGAACTGGGTCAGGAAAAGAAAAGCTTCAGTGCACCTGTACTCTGAGAAAGTGATGATCAGTTCCAGTGCTGTCTTTAAAATCCTGAAGCTTCTCCAAGCTGTGCACCTGGACTCTATCCGTGAGCTGGAGGTGTTTAGTGAGTGGAGCCGGAAAGGCATGAAAGCATTTGTTCCTCAGCTGAAGAAGATGAAAAACCTTCACACATTTCGCTTTAGCAGCCTGAGTCCAAATGTGTTTACTGCACCTGGGACAAACAAGTTGTATTCCCTCATGTACGCCTTTCACCTAGGACAGCTGCAAAATCTCCGGGAGTTTCATATGGACGATGTCTTTTTCTTGCACGGATCTCTGCATAAGATCTTCAGGTGAGTGCATGGTCAGCTCCCCTGCACCATTGTGATTACAGTAAATACTAAGAAGGCATCACTCTACCCGTCAACTGGCCTAGGGGAAGATGCTAGGAAGTGAGAAAGACAATATTTTCAGGAACATGTTGTTGTCTCCTATTTCTTCCTGTATAAAAGCAGGGACTAATTTGAGATAGGAGGTCTGGAACAGGCCACATGCACAAAAAGCCAGCAGCAAGGAAACAGATGAGATGAGAGCAGTTTAGATATCCTACTTTGCAAGCAAGTCTAGGTAAAGTCCTGGGAAAAGGGAAAGCAAAGCAGTAATGGAGGGACAGGAAACTCCCCTGTACATTGAAAAGGGGATTGTGCTCGGCAGCTGTGATGGGGAGGAAGTCATTGTCTCTGTCCTCCTTTCGAAACGGGAGCTGGGTGTTTGTCTTCATTTCAAATTGCTAGGACAAAATCCCCAAACACATGAGTGAAAGGAGAAAAGGATTTTCTTTAATCTCACAATTTAGACAGGATTCAGTCCATAGTCAGCCAGCTCCAGGCATGGAAGAGAAGATGCAGTCCATTGCAGGATGGGCAGAAAACAGTGAGCTGCCTTCTTGCTTCTTTTATACTCCATCCAGGCTGCACGGCTGTTGCTTGGTGCCACCCACACCCAGAATGTTGTATCCCTCTTCAGTATTTCCATCCCCTATAGCCACACAGAGCCAATCATTGCAGTGATTCAGTTATCACATCCATGATCTACCCACTTCCCCAAATTCCACCAGTGCGTGCTTAAGAATGTGGGGAAACACCAAGATGAAAGCCATGACACCATAGACATAGCACCATAACAGTGCTCCAGGCCTGGCAATGAGCAGATGGGAAGTGCAGGAATCTGTTGGCGAGGGTGAGGAGGAGGAGTGCAGAGCAGGGAAAAGGGGCACAAGCTTTGCTGAGGACACAGAACCAACGCCAGTGCATTGACCAAACACGCCTGGGATCATTCTTCCTGCAGTTCAACACCTGACCACAGCTGGCAAAGGTGTGGTGTTCTGCTTGGTGCTCAGCACAGGCCAGTCTAGACAGTGAGGACTGAGGCAATCACACAAGTGACGGTGACTTGAGTGATTAGTACCTTCAACACAGAGCATCCCGGGGATCATCAGATGGTGCTGGCAACACTGGTGTAAGCTGGCTCTCCTACACTGAGGGCATTTCTAATGCATACCACTCTCCACCCCATTAAGAGGAAATAACATTTCTCATTGCAGGAGCCAGACCCCCTTGGAGGCCCTCTCCTTGTGTTCAAGTCCACTGAAGGAATCTGACCTGAAGCACCTGTCCCAATGTGCAAGCACAAGCCAGCTCAAGTCTCTGATCCTGAGGAACATTTCAATGAAATCATTCAATCCTGGGACCCTCCAGGCTCTGATACACAAACTGGCCAGCACCCTGGAGACCCTGGCCCTCGAGCACTGTGACATCACGGACTCTCACCTCCTTGCCATCCTGCCCGCCCTGAGCTGCTGTTCCCGCCTCAAGACTTTCAGTTACTGTGGGAACCACATTTCCCTTGACGTCCTTCTGGTCCTTCTGCGTCTAACCGCTGGACTGAGCCAGTTGTCCAAGGGGCTGTATCCTGCCCCTGTGGAGAGCTATGAGTGCAACACCCCAACAACATTTGTGCACCCTGAGCAATTTGCCCAGGTCTGTGCTGAGCTGGCACAGGTCCTGCAGGACATAAGACCATCTCTTAGAATCCAGATCTGTACCTACTGTTATTCCTGCATGATGCACAAATTTTATAGTCTAGAGCATGGTGGGAACTGGGAAGTCACAGAGGAGGATAACTATCTACGTTGCAGTAGATGCTAAACTTTCGTGCTTCCCCTTCTCGGTTAATACATTTTTAACTCTATGTGTCCCTTAAAGCCTCCTACAATCACAGGTGGGCTTGTTGATGGTAACTGGATCCTGTAGCCATGATACTCATCCATGCATTATTCCACTGAATTTATAGCTCAATGTGATTTTCAGTGGCTAAGCCTGGTCAGAGAAGGTGGTCACTGGGGGTGGCCTAGAAGAGTCTATCTTCTTACCTCTGTTAATCTATCCCTTCTCTCCACATCCAGGCCATGAGCTGTTTCTCCTCTGCCATGTAATTCTGCCACGCTGGTCTCTGAACTATATTTTAAGACAAAATAAACCTTTCAGTTTTTAAAATTGAGTGGTGGGTATTTTCCACCAGTACCAGGGAAAATATGGAAGACCTGCATATGGCTGAAGTTAGTCCTATGTAGCTGATTTTGAAATGGTCACCAATGGAAACTTACCATATATGGAAGGACGTGTCCATAATCTCAGCACTTTGGATGCTGAGTTAGGAGGGTTACCTGCAATTTAAGGGCAGGTTTAACTACATGGTGATACAACATATCAAAACTAAATAGAAAAGTAGACAAATAAATGTAATCTGAATGTACACTCCTTCATGATGACCCAATGACTCGATTTTCCAATTTATTTATGCATTTATTATATTGAGTTTATTAGTATGTTTTCCATGGATGATAATTACATATATTCTGGATAAGGAAGTTATTTTCTTCTTAATTTTTTTGTTAGTGTATGGAATTGAATTGAAGAAGTTCACACTGAGCTGTCTTTCTATCTCTTTTCTGTATTATTTTAAATTTATTTTAAAAATAAATGAAGGAAAACATTAACAAACAGACATCCATTTACAAAATAGCAGAAGAATATTACAAACAATACAGAGTTACAGACAAAGTGGTATGAAATTAACAATGGTTGTTTTATTACATATTGATACCTTCAAAGTGGTTCATGAGGAAAACAAATAGGTACATGCAAGACAGATCAAATAAGTAAACATAACTGTTCCTTTCAGTAGAGCAATAGAAGTCAGTAGTACAACTATGTTAACTATCCTGTAGATACATACATACATACATAATTACCTCTTCTTTTCTCTTTTCCCTCATCCCAGTTGCTCTTTACAGTTGGACATTTTACTATCGTTTCACAATGTCTATCATACCTCCTAATTTTTACTCACTCTTTCAGGCTTTTACACGAGTGAGATAATATGTCGCTTACACATGGAAGTGTGGCTGATTTTACTTATGAGTATGGGCTCTAGTTGTGATCATTTCCCTGTAAAAGACTTGAGTTTATCTTTCTTTAGAGCTGAGTAATATTCCATTATATAAAAGTACCACAATTTTTTTTCTTTATCCATTCCTCAGTGGATGGATATTTGGGTTGCTTCAACAATTTAGCAGTTAAAAATTGTGCTGCTAGGAACACGGGTGCATGTATATCACTGTGATATGATGTTTTCAGATCTTCTGAGATATACCCAGAAGGGGAATAGCTGGAATGAATGGGACCTTTAGACCTTGTTTGCTGAGGAAACTCCAAACTGATTTCCACAGAGGTTTTACCAGTCTGCATTCCCATCAGCAGTGGAAATGAGCTCCTATTTCTCCAGAGCCTTGAAAGCATTTGTTACTGGCTGATTTCTTAATGATAGCCATTCTTACTGGGGTGAGATGAAATCTTAGTGTTGTTTTAATTTGCATTTCTTGATGAATAATAATACTGAT